CAACAACAATATCATCACCATGTATCATCATCAACAACAATATCATCACCAAGTATCATCACCACCAACAACAACAACATCATCACAACGTAACATCACCACCAACAACAATACAATATCATCACCATGTATCATCACCACCATCAAAATCTTTCCATTTTGAAAAAACTACCATCAAGAAAAGGCTATTCATAATCAACAAAACAACTCATTCACCTGGTATGTTAACAAAAATTTTCACAGTAGCATGTCCTTTAGTATTGTTGGCCATGCATATGTAAGAGCCATGGTCATCTGGAAATATGCTCCCTATGATAGTCAAATTACTTGTAACTGTTTTGGAGTTTGGCAGACGGCTTAAACGTGCCAAGTATTTTGTACCAGTCTTGCAAGGATTGGCTTCAGTGTCATTGCAGTGTGATGCAGGTATTTCATGTCCATTCTTGTACCACTGAATGGTGGGAAGTGGGTATCCTTGAACAGTGCAATTAATATTGGTCTTTTTTGAGTTTCTGACCTCAACAATGCCAGTAGATTGACCGCTGTAAGACTTGATAACGGGTGCCTCGTAATCTATAGCACACATATTTGAGCATTAATAATACCTACCAAATTTATTATCATAGAAAAGGAAATTTATACTTCTTATAATTACCTAACACAGTCAACCTTGCTTCCCTTTGGCTTTCTTTTCCTTTGTATGTTAGAAGACATCGGTACAACCCTGAATCCTTCACTGTGGCATTCTTGATAATCAGATGAAGGCTTCGTTTATGCAAGTCAGTTGTTATTTCCTCTCTCACTAAATCTTTCAACACCGCAACACTGGTGACATTAAATGCTTTAAACCATTGTAAGTTTGATTCATAGGCAGCAGAACATGTAAAGTAGACACTGCTTCCCACCAGCATCATAGCTGATTTGGGGTTGAGTTGAATACTATTTAGTATCCGTTGGTTATCAACTAATATAGTGTAACTAGGATTGTTAAAATTAATTGTTCTTCCTCTAGTATTGGTAGCATTGCACCAGTAATAGCCGTCATCATTTGAGTCAAAGTTTTTCACAATATAAACTTGTCCATTTTTGATGATTTTGTTTGCTTTCGGTAAGAGTGGTCTCCATACACTTCCACTAGGCTCATAATATAACTTACGGTATAAGAATACTGCAGTGTTTGGGTCGTTCGTCGAGCAATTGATCAGGAGATCTTCCCCATAACCTACTTGAAAACTGCGGTCCTCAGCATCTCCAATAAACTTGAATTCTGCCGCAGCTGAAAAATAAAAAACAGCTCTTTGAATAAATAGACTTTAAGGTSTGTTAGTTTTGTACATTTGAAGAGTGGGCTGATCCGGGTGGGGGGCAAAGGGGGGCTGAAACCCCCCTCCAGCAGAAAAAAAACTAAACTAAACTAAAGAATTAGATGCTTTCTTCTTATTGTTTTCCGTTATGTTGACGGAAGAAACTCAATTAGCCCTTGCTAATCTATATATGATCTTTATTAAACTCATTAATAATTCATGAGGAAAACACAACAGAAATAACGACCGTAAAGAGTGTTGTAAATCAGATACAGAATCGTGTTCATTTGCATAAACTTTAAGATGGATTTTCTTGGCCAGATTCACTTTTATCTTGAAAATTTTAGCGAAACAGAAAGGAACTAACCTAGACATTTGATAAGCAATCTACAGTATTCGTGTCCATGTTGTATCCAATATACCAACTCTCGCCTACACCTCGAGTTTGTATTTCAGATACAACACGGCCACTCATACTGTATATATTACATGAAGGCTCAACTTTTATTGGGCTGCCCGTGGATGGTTGTTTATTTCAATCAATAGTAGTCCAATAAGAGTGAGCAGATAGAGATGGTGGGACCCTTTGAAATGCATTGGGGAGGGAGGTACCTGATCATGATGACTTTTAGACAATCGAGAGACTCAAAATTGGCCTTTATGGTGGGAAATTGACTTTTATTTCATTATAAAATGTGAAATTAAATTTATACTCGACAAAAGTGAAGGTACTATTCACCAACCATCCCCTTCCAATCCCTAGCTTCAAGGAAGCTTTAATTCTACTTTACTTTTCTACTCAACTCTTACCACAGAAAAGTTTTTCGGTGAAGGGTAATAAAATAATAATAATAAATTACATTTATAAAGYGCAGATTAGTAGCACAAGATGTTCATCTGCGCTGAATACAGAAACAATACACAATAACTAGAAACATAAAAGCTAAGTTAATCAATGGGGAATTGCAAAAACATCTAAATAAAGGCTTTTCTATAAAAATATGTCTTTAAGTGTTCTTTAAAAGAAGGTAATGATGTAATATTCCTAATACTAGATGGTAAAGTGTTCCATTCTACTGGCGCTGCGTATGAAAAAGTTCTACCACCAACAGTAGGTCGAAGTTTAGTCGGTGGAGGTGCTAAAGAAGATCATTATTGGAAGGGTGATCAAATATATAGATGCAAACAAGTTTCGAATAATTGGAGTTAAATTTAATGTTCTGGTTTTCAAAGCTGGCACCTTTCACTATAGTACCGCCAATCAGAATGCAGCATTGATGATAGCTAGACAACTAGTTTGATTTGTGGGTCAACAGAATGTCACATTTAGATTTGACAACCACCATGTGCTGTCTCTACTATAATAAGCCATTAATTAAATTTAGCGTCATACATTGCTCATTGCTGAATTGAACTTTCAATTAACATTTAAAACAGGTCGTTGTTTAATTTACTTGATTTCGACAAGAACCCTGAATAACTCAAAACAAAACTGGAATATTGCCAGGTTCATTTCTTCATTTTTTTCCACTATCTTAATAGTTGGCTAGTTTTGAATTACTACAAATTAATTAATAATTAATGCAAAAATTTTAAAAAAACGCAGTCAATCATATTAGATTTTGAACTATTTTTGTGAAACAAACTAAACAAATCCCGGTTTTATAGTATTTACTAACCAAACAAGACATTTCCAGCAGCTTCCCAGATCAACAGTGCTGCCACAAATGATAAAAAATATCTTGATATTCCCATGAGAATCGTTTGAGGAGTTCTAAAATCCCATAAGACGAAATACTACAAGATCCTTCGATGAGAGACTGGCGCAGTTGTACAGGCTCGTTCTCGTCCTTCAAATTATCTTACTCGAACGTGTCTCCAAGGCTTCTTAAAGTGGAAGCATGCAGTTGATCGATAGCTAAGTACTTAATAACTCATGATTAAATTGCTTTCAGTTTCTAGCAAAGGACTTTCTAGACTTGCCGAACGTATACGAATCAAGAGTGGAAGGTTTGAAGGAGTTTCTGCCTTGAATAATGTAATATGATCCAGACATAAGCATTACTCGAGCGAATAATAATTGTGAAACTAGCGCGCAAACTGGGGGGTACCGCCAAGTGCATGTCACGTATCAAAGCAATGGGTGAGGGAAATGCTACTGGTATCCCGAGGGGGGGGGGGGGGGGGGGGGGGGGGGGGGGACTGGTATAGCTCGCAATTTGCAATCAAGTTTCCAAATTACTCTATAGAATGTCGTGGATGTTGCGATGTTTGCTTATACCCCTATTATAACATGTTCTTGAATGGCATGCTTGGAGCGACCTTGGCGATTGCATATACATACGATATGTTCAGTCAATTTGAATGTCGCATTCACCTAAAGGTCAGCCAAATCTCACCCCCACAGACTACTGCCATGCAAAGAACTCATCCTACGCATTAAGCAAGCAATATTATCAGCAAATTATRAAATTACGTTATCCGATTTTCTAAGACAGAGCAGATTTGACTTCCGCGCCCCACCAATGATACACAAAAACCACCCAAAACAGACGAAAATGTTCTCATTGAATTAACCTCCACCTGAAAATACTAGAACTGCTTGGACTACAAATCCTGTCATGAAGCCGAAGTATGAAGAAAAATTCTTACAGAATTGCTTTTTATTTGGACCCGGAAGTCGTTTTCCATTTAAAAGCACTATCGGCATATGTTACAAAATAGTCGCGAATCCTAAAAGTAAAATTAGGTTGCAAATGAGTATATCCTGCAAATAACGACAAAGCCGAAGTGAAACCATATTTAATTGCCGTAGCCGATATACTATTCTATTTGAAAATAAAGATTTTGAAAGACAGTGGATTGTATGGACTTAATGGCTTCTGTCGTGGCGTAGATGAAGGGGAAAAGGGGTGAGGGGTGCATGGGGGGACGATGAAGGGGAAAATGAAGGGGGGACGAAATGGGGAAAAGGGGAGACGAAAAGGGGAAAAAGGGGAGGGGACAGCTGAACAGACTTTTTATGAACAACGATTTGGATATCATCATTATAATGTTGGTTATTTGGCAGTTTATACAAAGTAACTTGAATAAAAATTTATTCGTATAAATTGCCAAATGACCATTACAATACTTAGTTAAAATGAAATCATGATGATTTCGAAATTTCGTTTATCATATGACCCGTACGGCCCTGCTCGCGCGCTCTAATAAAACCATTGGAAAAAGTCACGTGATGGGGGCCGGACGGGTTGACGTAAGCGGGCCGGAAAAACCCGTCCGGCCCTGCTCGAATCCGCGCGCTTTCTTTTTCTTATTTATTCTTATTTTCGTGAGGGTCATATGATAAAATGCTTATTGACTGAGTTAGGTCGGGCCGTACGGGAAAATATTTGGCTCTCGGTCATTTGTACGGACCTCGCTGCGCTCGGTCCGTACGACATGACCTCGAGCCAAATATTTTCCCGTACGGCCCTCCCACTCAGTCAATAAGTACATAATATTTGCGTTATTCTTTATATTGAAAAGACTTTACTACACTAAAAATAACAATCATGTTGGATGAAAAAGACAAGATGATAATGGTAGTCATTATTTTTTTAAGACCATCCAAGATGGCCGACTCAGGAGAATCGTGACCTCTCTCTTCCTGGCTTTAAGACTCTAGTGAAAGCTTGACGAAAGGGCCTTTGCTTTTTTGAAAAGCGATACATAAAATTGAAAAAAAATCAAAACTACATGACATGAGCAAAATGTATGCCATTAACGACAAATAATAAAAAGGAACTGATTTTCAGTTTTGAGGAAATGAACGACGGAGGAAATGATATCAACCAGGGTCCGCCCACTATTAGTAGCTAATGGATACAAAAGAAACCTAAACCTTTTTTTTTTTTCTTTTTTCGCATAAACAAATGTCCAAAATATAAACCTTTTAGAGTTTAAGCTAAAAGCTTTGAAAGCAACGTCATTGCTACAATCGCAAAATAATATAACTGGCACCTAATCTTGTTAATGCATCTGTTAGTTGAAGTTTTTCGTTATATTGTGCGTCATATATAATGGATTTTTGATCAGAATTCACAATTTGGTAAGGAACCTTTCAGGTGTATCTTTTGCGGGCGATTGTACTTGAAGCAGCTGCCATGATGTTGATATGGCTTCAACTGAGTTCCAAATGGCGCCTTTATGAAAGTTAAGAAGCGATAACTATTCAAAGACGTCAATATAATACATAAAGCGCTCTCTGATCGCCGAATGGAAAATTAGTCAGTACTTCCTATACTGCCGATTCTGTTTTATATTTTCCTTTAGTCTTTCCCTCTCGTTCAGGAGAAGTTGGTTCCTCGTCTAGACGCAGGATCAACGGTTCTCTCTGCTCCGCTTCAATTCTGTCTTTCTCCCTGTCACCAATGTCGATGCCACTTTCGTTACTGCTCTCACTGCCACTCCGTTGTGACGGAGGAATCGGTGGTAGTGGTGAGTTTGGCATTTCATTGCCTGATTCATCTTCTGGTCCGTTGGGTGGGAGAACTGGTAGAGGAGAATTATAACTGAAAAAAAAAAAAACAACAATCGTTTTAATGTCAGTGAAAACATCTGTGCATGGACGTATTACGATGTGTTGGCCATTTGAAATAAAAGTTTACAGGAATTTTACAACAAATAAAAAAGGAAAATTGAGTTAGAAGGTAGACGAACAACTGTGAGTGAATGACTATATTAGTGAACAGTCCAAGACGAGTGAAGAAAAAAGAAAAATGCATCAATTGAGAAATATTTGATCATTTTCGAAAACTTTTCACCCGACATGCCAGTGACAATCATTACTTGCATACTTTATATTACAATGACGAGCATCTCAACTTCCTTGTTTACGACAGAACCGTTTCTTGAATATCCTCAAGAATATAAAGTATTCTTTAAACAATATTTTCCTTTTTCTTATATGCCTATATACGTACATTGGGTA